TTCAGATCCTTTCAATAAACAAGACTTGTTAAAAAAAAATACAAAAATTAGCTGGGCAGGGTTGTGCGTGCCTGTAGTCCCAGCTGCTTGGGAGGCTGAGGCAAGAGAATTGCTTGAACCCAGGATGTGGAGGTTGTGGTGAGCTGAGATCGCGCCACTGCACTCCAGCCTGGCACCTGGCGACAGAGAAAGACTCTGTCAAAAAAAAAAAATAATAAATAATAGCATTGTTTAACTTTCTATAGTCTACAATAATAAGTCCAGTCATCAGTAACAACTCACCTTTAAGCAACTAAAAAGTGAGATGGTAGGAATCAGCACCCCTTCTTAACTAAGTCAGTCCCGACATGCTGGCACCCTTCAGTGCCTTGTCTCAGCCAGAGCAGTGGTGTATCTCCCACCTCAACTGGATAGTGTAAGGCTAACTGGTTCCCACAGGGAACCCACCTTCCAACAGTGTAAAAGCCTTAGGCTTGTTCCCTGCTGACTGAGAAGGTCTATTCAATAATGGGAACAAGAACAGAAGTATTTCTTAGCAAAATGGGACTTTATTTATTTATTTAGAGATACAGTCTCACTCTGTTGCCCAGGCTGAAGTGCAGCAGCACAATCTCAGCTCACTGCAACCTCTGCCATCCGGGTTCAAGCAGTTTTCCTGCCTGAGCCTCCCAAGTAGCTGGCGCATGCCACCACACTTGGCTCATTTTTGTATTTTTAGTAGAGATGGGGTTTTGCCATGTTGGGCAGGTTGGTCTTGAACTCCCGATGTCACGTGATTCACCCGACTCGGCCTCCCAAAGTGCTGAGCCATTACAGGCATGAGCTACCACACCCAGCCATAGGGACTAACTAGTTAAGTGGCTTATTAACTAATCTTCCTTCCAAGCCTGTCATTTCCTTGAGGGGTCCTTTGAAAGCATGAGTGCTTCCTGGGATTAGGGAGATTTGACCATCCACATCCAACAGAGCCAGCTTGTGGTGTTTATTTTTTGGAGCCCAAACCACAGTTAATGGAAGAGGGTGATTGTCTTCCAGGGGAACCTGATTCCACAATCACCAGATCCCTGTGTGGGGTGGGTACCTGCCACTGGTGAAGGTCAGGGGCAGGCACAGAAGGTGGAGATGGCTTGAAGGAGACACCATAATCTGACCCTAGTAAGAACTGTAACTGCCCCATGGGTTTCTGAGAGGTCATCCAATTTGGGGTCCCCTTGTCCCTTAGGTCCTAGTATAACCTCTCTTGTTCATCTTGGCAGGAACATGGTTGCAGGTGGTTTGTTTGGCTTGTGTGAGGGAAGCCCCCTCATGGTCGATGGTAATTGTGAAAAGTCAGGCCCAGGGAGGGAAAGAATAAGACCCTGAGATGTAGGATTAGGATATTTGAGTGGGCAATTAGATAATTTTGACCTTTCTGTTCCAAATTTCCTTGAGGCCTCCCTGATAGCCTTACAGGGGTTCACCATTCAAAGCTTCCCTCCCAGGGACAAGGGATGCTCCCTTGGCCTCATGTCCACCCCTACCCCCACAAATTGAGGGGGCAATCAGAGAATTTTGACCTCCCCAGTAAAGATTTCCTTGAGGCCTCCCTGATGGCCTTACACAGAGTATATGAGAACCTTGGCTCTGTCTGGCCCTAGGCCCTAATGCAGCCTTTGCAAGGTGGAGGTGGGTCAGGCAGGCTGTACTGTGCCACCCTCTTCTCCCACCTGCTCCAGGGTGTCTGGTGCTTCTTGCGGACAACTCTGGGTGCCTGAAGAACAGGTGAGTCATATAAACAATTTATTGTCCATGAGGCCAGGGGAGCGTCCCTTGTCCCTGAGAGGGAAGCTTTAAATGGTGAACTCAGACTGGGGACTCTGGTCCCCACCTTAGAGCCTCCTTGCTCTGAGTAAGGCCACATTTCCTGAGTTTTGGGGACCGTGGCCTGCCAAGGATGGCAGATAGAGGGACCCAGCCTCCTGGGCCCAGGCCTGCCCAGCTTCCTCCAGTCCTACCACCTGGAGCAGGAGGGCCCAGCATCACTCTTGGCCTCAGGGATCTGTCTGAGTGGTGACCAGGTGACCAGGGTGGTGGCCAACCTGCCTACTCATCGCCAAGATGACTAGTTGCTATTTGGGCCCCCTAAGGTCACTGACTTGGCCTTCTGGGGTTTGCACAGGTCCCAAGTAGCCATGTACTGCTCTGAGAGGGCTTGCCCTGCTTTGGGCTAGATTCCAGTTCTGGTGAGAGCCACAGTTGGCTCAGTCCTTTTGGTGATCACCTTGGCTGCTGGAGGCCCCAGGCTCTGGTTAAGGCCAGATCAGACCCCTCTGGGCCTGGGGCTTGTGCCATGTGAGGGGACTCTGTCCCACAGCAGGTCAGCATGAGGACATTGTGCTGGCTGGCCAGAGCTATGAGAATGCCACACACACCCTCCTCTCCAGAAGCTTCCAAGTGTCCAGCTTCCTTGTGGATGTTGGTCTCAGCTGGCTGAGGGACCATCTGGGGCTTCTAGACAGTTTACAGGGTAGGCTGCTGCCCTGGCTCCTTCCAGATCATGCAGGTCAGTGAACCTGACAGGTATAGGACATGGCCCACCATGAACGGGAGATGACGGGCTCTGCCTGTGGGTCTTCAGAGGGCTGGGCAGGGGTCGATGATGGGCCCCAGTGAGGTTGCAGGGCCTGTTCTGTCCATGGTCCTGGGGGTAGCCAGGGTGGATGTTGAAGGGCTGGGGGCCCAGCATTCCTGCCTGAAGCAGTACTGTGGGAACCATGGGCCCTGAGATCAGGGTCCAAGGGAAGGTTTGGGAGTGAATAACCACCAAATTGGTGGTCTGTCTTGGACTGGGGACAGGCTGGCCAGACCCTGAGCTCCTGGAACCCCCAGAGAAAGGCCTGTGGCCCTAGGCTCTTTGGAGACCCTCATGCCACTGGAGATCTCAGCCTTGGGAAGAACCTGGCCAGGCACGGGTCAGGGAGGACCAAACTCCTGTTTTAGGGGGACTATCCTTATGGGGAGGCATGGTCTCACTCTGTTATCCAGGCTGAGTGCAGTGGCGTGATCATGGGTCACTGTTGCCTTGGCTTCCTAGCCTTGAGCAATTCTCCCACCTCAGCCTCCCATGTAGCTGACACTAAGGCACATGCCACCACACCTGGCTAATTTTTAATTTTTTGTAGAGATGGGGTCTTGCCATATTGCCCAAGCTGGTCTCAAACTCCTGGACTAAAGTAGTCCTCCCACCTCAGCCTCCCAAACTGTTGAGATTACAGGTGTGAGCCATCACATCTAGCTGAGTTTTCCTTTATTTTTGAAAGATAATACAAGAATAATCATGTAATTTTCATTTTTTTTTTTTTTTGAGATGGAGTTTCACTCTTGTTACCCAGACTGGAGTGCAATGGCACAATCTCGGCTCACTGCAACCTCCGCCTTCTGGGTTCAAGCAATTCTCCTGCCTCAGCCTCCCGAGTAGCTGGGACTATTAGGCATGCACCACCATGCCCAGCTAATTTTTATATTTTTAGTAGAGACGGGGTTTCAACTTGTTGACCAGGATGGTCTCAATCTCTTGACCTCGTGATCCACCTGCCTCGGCCTCCCAAAGTGCTGGGATTATAGGCATTAGCCTGGCAATTTTCATTTTTCTAATGTCCTTGTTAAATTTTAATATCAAAACTACTGCTGGTGTCTGAGTAGGCTTTCTCTTATATTCTCTGAAATCTTGACGCTTTCTCTTTATTAAAGTGATTGGCAGAATTTAGCAGTGAAGTTATCTGGGCCTGGAGATGACATAATGAAAATATTTTAATTTGGAGGTTCAATTTCTTTAGTAGTTTAAGACACTTCAGGGGTTTTTGATTATTGCAAGTTGAATTTTTCTATGAATTTGCCAATTTTACCAGAATTCACATTTATAAAGTTACTTGTGGCCATATACATATATATGTAAATACATATACACACATATGTAAATACATATACATACACACATATACATACACACATATATGTAAATATATACACACATATATGTAAATATATACATACACATATAAATATATATACACACACATATATATGTAAATACATATATATACACACACGTTTTTTTTTTTTGAGACGGAGTCTCGCTCTTGTTGCCCAGGCTGGAGTGCAATGGCACGATCTTGGCTCACAGCAACCTCCGCCTCCCGGGTTCAAGTGATTCTCCTGCCTCAGCCTCCCGAGTAGCTGGGATTATAGGCGCCTGCCACCACGCCGGGCTAATTTTTTGTATTTTTTGTAGAGACGGGGTCTCACTATGTTGGTCAGGCTAATCTTGAACTCCTGACCTCAGGTGATCCACCCACCTCGGCCTCCCAAAGTGCTAGGATTATAGGCATAAGCCACTGCACCCAGCCAAGACTATATTATTAGGTACACACAAATTTGGAAAATTTTGCCAATGAACTGAATATAATTAGAACTAAATGTGTTTACCCCTAGTAATTATTTTTGCCCTGAAATTGTATCTTATATAAGGCTCTTTGCCTTAAAATCTGTTTTTTGTTGTTGTTGTTGAGACAGACTCTCACTCTGTTGCTCAGGCCGGAGTGCAGTGGCACGATCTCTACTCATCACAACCTCTGTCTATGAGGTTCAAGCGATTTTCCTGCCTCAGACTCAGATTACAGGCATGCACCACTACAGCTGGCTAATTTTTGTATTTTTAGTAGAGATGGGATTTCACCATGTTGGCCAGGCTGGTCTTGAACTCCCGACCTCAGGTGATCTGCCCAGCTTAGCCTCCCAAAGTGTTGGGACTACAGGCATGAGCCACCACATCCGGGCTCTATTGTTTGATATCAAATAACTACACCAGATTTTTGGTGTGTGTATGCATGGTAATCATTTTTTATCCTTTTACTTGCAAATGTTATATACATTTTAGAGTTCTCTTTGAAGGTCTCTTAGAAGCTTAGTCTGTAGATGTGGCTGGAGAAATAAACAGAGGCCAGATCATAAGAACATCAGACTTTCCTAAAAGCAAGAATGGGGGTTTAATAGGTTTTATCTTTCCACTAAGTGTTTGGAGGCCAGCGTCTGTAACAGTGTTAGTCACCCTCAGCGCTCATAGAAGAGTTTATCCACATGAAGCATAAAATAAACATTTTAAAAATAAAGGATTGCTAAGAATAAGTTTCTCTAGTGTATCTGTTTTTATCCTTGAACCACAATCATGCTGTCTTACTTCTTACATAAACTTTAAAATATTGGTATCTGATACCGCAAGTCCTTCCATCATTTCCTCTTCTGCAAGTTCCACTTCCTTCTCTTGGCCCTTTGCACTTTAATGGCTCTTTTAAAATCACCTCATCAGTCAAATTATTATAAGGAAAAAGAGCTGGCTGGGATTATATTGAGATTTATTAAATTAAAAAATTAATTTCAGGAATGCTTGTTTCCTTATATACACAGCTGCTTCTGGCTCACACTCATCCTGAGGGAGTAGATATGTTGGTAAACCAGCCTCAGTGCGGAGGGTCTCCTGCTGGATCCCCAACTGGAGCCATCCCTGGGCCTAGACTTCCGTCTCCCTCACTTCCAAGTTAGTGCTCAGTCATATGAAGCACACGAGAGGCCCTCAGGGCAAAAGTGCTGTGCCTGGTGCCACCTTCCCCAGGACCCACCCAAAAATGAGGGCCATGAGACAATGCCACTTTATTTCCCTTGAGAGAAATGGAGGAGGAACAGACATAACACAGAGACACCTGAGGTTTTTAGAATCTATAATCTCACATACTGAACTAGTTAGTGTTTAATGTCTCTGAGAATAAAAGCAAATCTTCCTTCCACTTGAGTTTCCAACATGAGGACGCCTTACTCTCTGCACTTCTCCTTGACCAGGAGGCAACACCTGGGGAAGCAGCACGAAGGCAGGCATTGCCATTCTGCACAGGCAGGCCTTGACTGGCAGCAGAGCTCACTGTTCTGATGGGTAATCACCAAGGCAGGCATCGCCATTCTGCATAGGCAGGCCCTGAATGGCAGCAGAGCTCACTGTTCTGATGGGTAATTGCCAAGGCAGGCATCACCATTCTGCACAGGCAGGCCCTGAATGGCAGTGGAGCTCACTGTTCTGATGGGTAATCACCAAGGCAGGCATCGCCATTCTGCATAGGCAGGCCTTGACTGGCAGCAGAGCTCACTGTTCTGATGGGTAATCACCAAGGCAGGCATCGCCATTCTGCATAGGCAGGCCCTGAATGGCAGCAGAGCTCACTGTTCTGATGGGTAATCACCAAGGCAGGCATCGCCATTCTGCATAGGCAGGCCTTGACTGGCAGCAGAGCTCACTGTTCTGATGGGTAATCACCAAGGCAGGCATCGCCATTCTGCACAGGCAGGCCCTGAATGGCAGTGGAGCTCACTGTTCTGATGGGTAATCACCAAGGCAGGCATCACCATTCTGCATAGGCAGGCCTTGACTGGCAGCAGAGCTCACTGTTCTGATGGGTAATCACCAAGGCAGGCATCGCCATTCTGCATAGGCAGGCCCTGAATGGCAGCAGAGCTCACTGTTCTGATGGGTAATCACCAAGGCAGGCATCGCCATTCTGCATAGGCAGGCCCTGAATGGCAGCAGAGCTCACTGTTCTGATGGGTAATCACCAAGGCAGGCATCACCATTCTGCATAGGCAGGCCTTGACTGGCAGCAGAGCTCACTGTTCTGATGGGTAATCACCAAGGCAGGCATCGCCATTCTGCATAGGCAGGCCCTGAATGGCAGCAGAGCTCACTGTTCTGATGGGTAATCACCAAGGCAGGCATCGCCAATCTGCACAGGCAGGCCCTGAATGGCAGCAGAGCTCACTGTTCTGATGGGTAATCACCAAGGCAGGCATCGCCAATCTGCACAGGCAGGCCCTGAATGGCAGCAGAGCTCACTGTTCTGATGGGTAAGTCAGCAGCACACAGACTCACCAAGCACAGGACGTGAATCTCCTCTGCTGGACTGGATGCTGTCATGCTCTTGGCTAGGAGCATAACCTCTGCCTCAAGACCAACCCTCACAAGGGTTAAGGGGCAGGGTGTGGTGTGGAGTGGGCCCAGTGTGGCCATGGGGAGGCCTTGGAGAGTGGAGCCAGGCAGGTGGCAGAGGAACAAGTGGACTGGGTGGTCCTTAGGCACAGGCAGACAGGACCAGGGCCAGCTTCTCACCCCTCCAGGATGAAGGGCCAAATCAGCTGTGGGTTCAACAGCGACTCCTCAAGAGGCCGGTCCACGTGGAAGTCATGAACGTGGTGGGGGCCTGGATGGGCCTTGGGGGCAGGTCCCCCTGGACGCTGAGGAATCGGTAGCTCAGATGGATGGGCAGGCAGAGGAGCTGTGAAGAAGTACTGATGGAGGAGAGCCTGGGGGTGGCAAGTAAGGAACAGCAGAAGGAAACCAGTCACCTCCCTGTCTTCAGCCTCAGGCAGCTGTTCCTTCATCTCTGCATTCAGTGGACTCAGTGCCTGGGTATTTTCTGAGTGTCTACTATGTCTGAAGCACTATTCCAGAAGCTGGAGACATAGCTGTTAATAAAACAGACAAAAGCTCTGTCTTTCTGACGTAGGTGGGGGCGGGGAGTAATAAACAAGATGAAGTAAAATACACCGTATGTCAGATAATGATTAGTGCAGTGGGAAAGACACAGCAAGAGAGAGGAATGAGGAATCCTGGAGAGAGGTTACAGATCTGAAGCGTCACGAGGGAAGGCCATCTGAGAAGTGACATTTTAGCCAAGACTTGAGACATGAGCAAGTGGGACATGAGGTTCCAGGGCAGAGACAAAAGTGTACAGACCCCAGGGGATGCCCTGGTGTGTGAAGAAGGCCCTGGGGCTGGAAAGCAGTGAGCACAGGGCACAACAGCTGGCAGCGTCATGAGGTGATGGCACCCAAACATGTGACACCTGTGGGCCACAGAGAGGACCCTGGCTTTTCCTCTGAGATGGAGCCACAGGAGGGCCTGGCAGAGCAGGAATGTGTCCTGCTCTATTTGGATAAAGTTACTCTCTCTGCCAGGTGGAAAAGAGATTACATGGGATGAGGGGAGACCCAGATTCTGGGAGGCAATCAGGAGGTAAGGGTCAGATGGCTGGGGTGCACTGTGGATGCAGAGCCCACAGGAGCTGCTGACACTGGAGACGAAGAGAGCGTATATAAACACCTGCTGCTGGTGCTGCGTGCAGAGAGGGGACAGGGACCCCTGAGAGACACACCCTGACACCTGTCAGCCCATGATCCTGTGGTCCTCATCATCCTCCCAGGCCTTCCAAGCCTTCCTTGGTCCTCGCCTCCAGGCCACTGCCCACCATTTCTCTCTTCAGCAAACACCTCCTCAAACATCTCCTGCTTAAACCTGCCCTCCACCAGAAAGCTTTGCTTGACCCCAAAGTCGGCCTCACCTCTCTCTGGGTCTCCCACACTGGGACAGCACAATCTCTTGTGACCTTTCGGGCCTGGAGCTACCTTACCACTAGGAGTGCCCCATGGAGGCAGGTCTGATTGTTCACCATCCGTGTGGGGCCCAGAACAACCCCTGCCACGTGAGGGTGTGCAGAAAATACTTGCCCAAGGAATGAAGGAACGAGTCCCCAGTGCTCCCCCTACAGGATTAGAGGCAGCCCAGAAGTCAGCACCCTCGGACATGTGCTCTCCTGTGAGGTGGGCACGCCCCTCTTGGAGGCCACCCTCAGGAGAACTCTAGGGATGTCCCGTGCCTCAGAAGAGGCACACCTGCTCCAAGGTCCCTGTCCCCTGGGTTCCAAATGTCTGGTGCTGGTCCCTGCCCATCACACGTTCTGAGAGCCGCTGACTTGATGGGGTCACATGGCTACCAAGTACAGAGTACCAGGGTGATGGGGAGGGGAGCTGAAGGAGCAAAGACCCCAGCCTCTCACCTTACCCTGGAGGCTGTGATGCGCCGGAGAGGAGGGTAGAGAAGAAACTGACTCAGCAAGTCCAATGCCTGGGGAGAGGCATCCGGCAGCACTTCCTCCAGGGGCACGGGTGCCTGTTCCTTAAAGGAGATCTTGTTGTAGTCTGGCAGCTTGGCAAGCTCCTGGGCCAGGGAGAAGGAACAGGGTCCATAAGAGTAGTCCCCAACCCTCACCACACCCTCTGCTGTCAGCTCTCAGCCCCTAACACACCCTCATGTGGGGGGTGCTCTCCCACCATGTGTCTCCTCGACCCATTCAGCCACCCCTACATTCCTTCATCCATCCCCTTGCCCTCTCAGATGGCAGATCTGTGCCCAGTTTGCGGAGACACTGCACATGTGTACACTGGGGTGAAAGGGGACAAAGGACAAGACCTATACCCAAACCTGCATGACAGCAGGAAGGAGGAACCCGAGTTGGGGCAGGACAGTGGTTCCTGTCCATCAAGGGGGGGGTTGAGGCCAGGAGAGAGAAGGTTCAGGGGAGGGAGTGGTCACTTGCTGTCGGGGAGTGGAGTAAACCTGCCCCACACCCATCGCACCAAGGGGCCCTACAAACCGGCCAGACTTGAGGGCTAGGGGTGCCCAAGATGTGAAGCACACAGCAAAGCTGTTCAATGTTGTTCTCACCCGGGAAAAGGGGGGACCCATTCAACAGCTCCCCCATGATGCATCCCACGGTCCTGTGGAAAGAGTCCCAAGCATCTCAGAGATCTCCCACCATGGACCACAGACCCACCAAAGAGCAGCTCTAACACCGCACTCCAGGGCAAGGCCCCCACAAGCCAGCACTGGAGCCTCATGTCTAGGGGCCCAGTCCCTGAACCCTCAAAGCCCTCAACCCTAGAACCCAGAGCAAAGCCCCAGCGGTTCCAAGACTTCTCAGAGACTCCTAACTCTAGGACACACAGCTCCCTTGCACTTTCGGGGGCAGACCTGCCCCAAATCTCAGACCCATGGGCACTGCCAACTATCTTCTTGCAAAACAAGCTCAGAGCTTTCATATCCAAGGATACGGGCCACTGACCAGCTCAGACCACCTCCCCACTTAGCCCAGAAAGCTTCCTACCTGGGACCACCATTCTCATCCCACCTTACCCACACCTAGCTCAAAAACATCATAGTGAGGACCCCAACCCCAAAGTGTTCAGAATACCCCAACCAGGGAAGACACCCTTAAGGGAGCCTAAACTCCCACCACGGAAAAGACCACCAAACAGCTCAGAGACCTCAGAGCCTAGCAGAAATCCATGAGCCATGTTACCCTTTGACCACCCATGGGGGTCTGACCACAGATCGATGCCCTGGTCATTACTGGCGGGCACCATACAGGAGCTCGGGGGCCTGGTACCACTGCGAGGAAAAGAGCTGGTGGGCATTGGGCTGAGAAAAGGATACCTGGGGAGGTGACCCTAGCCCCACAACCAATGTCTGGAGAAAAGGCCCAGAAGCATCTCTTCCCCATGGCGAGGGCTAGAAGCATCTCTTCCCCATGGTGAGGGCTGGAAGGGATCTGGCCCTCCCTACCTGGTGGCCACCTGGTGTGTGTAGAGGCGGCTGCCATCTGGGGAAAAGACTCGGGCCAGGCCAAAGTCTGCTATCTTGAGCTGGCCTGAGGCACTGATGAGCAGATTGGCAGGTTTCAGGTCCTGGGAATGCCAAAGGAAGGATGAGTCCCTCCAAATCCCCCACAGGACCTAGGGACAAGAGGACTTGGCAGTCTAACCACACAGGTCAACCATGGTCCCTGTCTCCTCCAGGGCTATGCTCTGGCTGCTTACCTGGAGGCCTTGACCAGCTCTGTCCCCACTTCTGGTCATGCTTTTTACAAGGGCTAGCCCCATCCCCAAGCCGAGTCAGCTCCCCAGACCCCACCCTCGGCCTATGCTGAGACTGACCTGATGCACAATGTTGTTGGCATGGCAGAAGGCGACACCCTTGAGCAGCATCTGCAGGTAGCTCTTGACCTGTGCCTGGGCTAGCGGCCTCTGGGCATGGCGCACCACCTCAGCCAGATCCGACAGCATGAACTCAAAGGCCAGCACAAAGCCTGCACCATGTGGGAACACAGCCTTCAGCTGCACCACCTGTGGGCAGGACATCCTGTTAGCCCCTAGATTTCAATCACCAGACCCTCTCTGTGACCGAGACCCCAGCCTAGGCCCTGACAGAGAACCAAGTAGACAGAGAAGGTGACATGGGACCTGAGCTAAGAATCAGAAAGCTCTGTGCTCATGACTTGCTCTGCTCTCCTGAGATAAGGTTGGCCCCCATTCTAATTCTCCCTGAACACTCAGGAAGAAGGTCTAAAGAAGGTCATTTAGTGGCAGCATCTGTTCCACCCACCCAGCACACTTGCCTGAAAATCATCTGGATGGTCACACATGAGATGGACACACAGGTCTCCTCCTTTTTCCTCTAGAGCCATTGAATCCCAGCACCAAGAAAAGGACACCAGAAATCCCACCCTTCCCAGTGCTGGGACAGCTACAGACACATCACAAACACTGAGGCCACCACCGTCAGAGGGGTCAGGCTACACAGAGCTGAGAGACAGGACTCTTAAGGAACTCACAGCACAGAGGACTAACAAATAAATGAACAAATGGGATATATTCAAATTCTGTAAGCACAGGAGCAGAAATAGAAGAAGGCCAGGCATGGCATCTCATGCCTGTAATCCCCACACTTCGGGAGGCCAAGGTGGGTGGATGGCTTGAATCCAGGAGTTTGAGACTAGCCTGGGCAACATGGTGAAAGCTTGTCTCTACAAAAAAATTAGCCAGGCATGGTGGCACATGCCTGTAGTCCTAGCTACTTGAGAGGCTGAGGTGGGAGGATCACCTGAGCCCAGGAGGTTGAGACTACACAGAGCCAAGATCACACTACTACACTCCAGCTGGGTGAGAGTGAGACCCTGTATTAAAAAACAAAACAAAACAAAACAAAACAAAAAAACAGAAATAGAAGAGAGGATACTGTGAGTCTGTGTGAGTGGAGAAAAGGATACTTCTTTATTTAGATGGGGTGGGGCTAGATGAGGACCCAGTTTGTGGGGATCTGGGATGAAGCTCTGGGCAGGGGGAGAAGCAAGTACAGGGAGACTAGAGGGATGTGAGAACATGAGGTTGTTTAAGGAAAGGATATGTCTGTCCTGTTCTGTGCTCCTGGATCCTAGATAGGTGCTGGTCCCTGAGAGATGCCTAAGAAGCTGTATTGAATGAGAGAAAAGGGAGAGGCCAGCTGGAGGTGGGCACATGGTGATCATGCTTTAAGTGTAAAGAGAAGCCACCAGGGCTCTTTAAGCAGGGGAGCAGATGACTTGACTTACACTTTTGACAAAGCTCTCTAGACTGTGGCTATGGAGAGCAGCGGGGAGGCTGCCGCTGTTGTTCTGATGAGTGGTGGTGATGACTTGGGCAGGAAGCAAATCTGGAGTACGTTTTAAAGTTAGAACCTTCAGAATTGCTGACCAACTGGATGCAGGGACCATATCACCATATCACCAGCTTCCTTATGGATCTCTTTCCACCTATCCCACACATGGCTGTCTGGAAGTCCTTTTATCTTCCTCAAAAAATCAAAATAGGGCCTGGCACAGTGGCTCATGCCTGTAATCCCAGCACTCTGGGAGGCCGAGGAGGGCGGATCACAAGGTCAGGAGTTCAAGACCAGCCTGGCCAAATGGTGAACTCCCATCTCTACTAAAAATACAAAAATTAGCCGGGTTTGGTGGCAGGTGCCTATAATCCCAGCTACTCTGGAGGCTGAGGCAGGAGAATTGCTTGAACCAAGAAGGCGGAGTTTGTGGTGAGCAGAGATCATGCCATAGCACTCCAGCCTGGACAACACAGCAAGATTCTATCTCAAAAAAAAAAAAAAAAAAAAAAAAAGAATAAAAAAGAAAAAAAAAATCAAAATGGCCTGATTACTGTTCTCTGATTTTTCAGGTAGTACACAATCATTTAACAGATCAAAACACATCCACACATTCAGGTAAGACACAAAATTAGAAAGAAAAAAAGAACAAAAGAAAAATCCTACAGTCAATCTTACAGTGCACTCTACCAGACTTTACAACAGATACGGCACACACAAATACACATTCACATATATAATATTTCCAAACAAAACCCAGATGACACAAAGTGTTATAACATGCTTTTTTGTCATCCAATATATCATGAATATCTCCAGGGAACAGCAAAGATAAGTCAGATGATTACAGAGACCCAACTCCGTTACTCTCCGGGGAGTCAAATACATTCCCTGTTTCTACAGGGATGAGAGAGAGCACCAAAAGAGTAATGACGCTGGAGATGAAAGATGCCCCTGCGCGTGTTCCAGCAGCCCCTCCTCATACCCTATCACAGCACGACCCACACTAGGTGAGCCCTGCTGCCTCTGCCTATCTCTTGCTAGCGCACTTATATCCTCAGGAGCTGGGTTGGAGCTAATTTCTCTGTGTCACCAGTGCCCAACACAGGGTAGGGCCTACAGGAGGCCCCAAGGAAAGAATGTCTAGACTCTCAATCAAACCTGGGCCAAACTCTCTACTGACCAACTGAGGGCCCACGAGCTGGTGACTTAACCTCCTCTCCTCACCTAAGAAACAGAGAACCTGAAACCTGCCTTGTAGAGTAGTAAAGAGGTATCAAAACGACAATGTCTACAATGCCCACAGAACACACAGGAGCTCAACAGGTGCCAGTTATATTATAAATCACTAAATGTATTGAGGAAAAAAAGTTGGTGAATGAATGAATACATCAAGAAGTGGATAAATGAGGGTTGCGAGAGAGACACGCGACCCTGGGTAGGCCAGAGGCCCTTCTCAGGGGTCTAGGAATAGCCTGGCACCCAGCCGCTGGGGTAGGGAACCAAGACAGCTGTCGGGAGGGAAGCGCAACGGCCCAAAGGAGGTTTAGAATACGAGTAGGTTTTAAAAACTGTACTGGATGTAAAAAGGGAACCGAAGCGGCTTAGAGCCTTAGCCGGAGGGAGGCGGGAGTACTACCCCGCCAGGCTGCCAGCCGCGGTCCGGCCTCACCTCCACGTGCTTGGCCTTGAAGACGATGCCGTGGGCACCCTCCCCGATGCGGCCCAGGATACAGTACTGGTCCATCCCGGTGCAGTCGCTGGGCTTGTGCCCCTAAGCTTCCAAATCCCACTTCGCCCCGGCGCGCACGCCGTTGCCTAGCAATAAGGCTGCAGCCGACCACTAGGGCGGGTCCTGTGGGCCACGTCACCAGAAGAACAGAAGCTGCGTCCAGTCGGGGATGACCGCTCCAGGCTCCACTGCGCCTTTTCCTAGCCCTCTGCTGTCACCCAGCAGCAAGCTTAATCCGGTATAAAAGCAAAACAAAACAAAAACACACACGCTGAGAGCATGCCGGCGACAGGGTACGCGGAGCAATGGCGGCCGGCACCGCCCATCTGCCCCACCCCGGCTTCACGTGACTAACTGGGCTTGTGCGCGCAATCGGGAGGGGCGGACTCCTTTCCCCGCAGGCCGGAAACCCCGCACCTGTAAGTAGAGGTTCGGTCTTCACGCGCGTGTACTGTCCTCTAGCAGACACAATGATGATGAAGACAGACAGGCCCAGGGCTGCGTTGTGGAGAAAGGGTCTGTTAGGTGTCCTGTCTTAAAATGTCAGTTGGCGGCCGGGCGCGGTGGCTCACGCCAGTAATCGCAGCACTTTGGGAGGCCGAGGCGGGTGGATCACGAGGTCAGGAGACCGAGACCATCCTGGTCAACATGGTGAAACCCCGCCTCTACTAAAAATACAAAAAATTAGCTGGGCATGGTGGTGCGCGCCTGTAGTCCCAGCTACTCAGGAGGCTGAGGCAGGAGAATTGCCTGAACCCAGGAGGCGGAGGTTGTGGTGAGCCGAGATCGTGCCATTGCACTCCAGCCTGGGTAACAAGAGCGAAACTCCATCTCAGAAAAAAAAAAAAAGAATTTTGACATGCAGTGGATTTTTAATATTCTATCCAGTACATTTGTGTGGTACTACCTTTTTTTTTTTTTTTTCCGAGATGGAGTTTCACTCTTGTCCAGACTGGAATGCAATAGCATGATCTTGGCTCACCACAACCTCTCCTTCCTGGGTTCAAGTGATTCTCCTGCCTCAGCCTCCTGAGTAGCTGGGATTACAGGCATGTACCACCGTGCCCGGCTAATTTTGTGTTTTTTTAGTAGAGACGGGTTTCTCCATGTTGGTCAGGCTGGTCTCAAACTCCCAACCTCAGGTGATCCACCTGCCTAGGCCTCCCAAAGTGTTGGGATTACAGGCGTGAGCCACCGGCGCCCGGCAGTAATACCTTATAAATAAAGGAACCTAAGTGTGTAATTGAGCTAGCATTTAAAATACAATACCTGGGAACAGAAGTGACTAAGTCCTGAGTCCACACTGCCCCAGCTGTCTAGGGGAATGTTTCTGTATCTCATCACCACACAAGACAGAAAGGCCGAGCTGGGCACAGTGGCTCACGCCTGTAATCCCAGCACTTTGTGAGGCTGAGGTGGGTGGATCACCTGCGGTCAGGAGTTCAAGACCAGCTTGGCCAACATAGTGAGATTCTGTCTCTACTAAAAATACAAAAATACTGGGGTGGGGTGGCAGGTGCCTGCAATCCCAACTACCAAGGAGGCAAGGCTGGAGAATCACTTGAACCCAGGAGGCAGAGGTTGCAGTGAGCTGAGATCGTGCCACTGCACTCCAGCCTGGGCAACAAGAGAGAAACTCCATCTAAAAAAAAAAAAAGAAAAAAAGACTGGTAATTCACAAATAAGGTCAGAGTGGACTTTGTGACCCCAGGTTGGGGTTTATTGTGCCAGGTCTTCTGTCAGAGTGATATCTGTGTGTCTCCATCCTCCATGTGTTCCTCTCAGTCCAGAGGGGAACAGAATGGGTTGCAGAATAACTAAAGGAAGCCTTTAGTTTGATTTTGGCCATTACAGAGCTGAATTCTGTCAGCTGGCCAAGTGAGTCCAGAAGTTTGGTCTATCCGTATGTAATCTCGGTGTCTGCTAGGCTAACGAGGGCAGGCAAGTGAGCTCCTCCAAGTTACACAGGGCTGACTTGGGAGCCCTTTGTAACATCTGGGGGTTTGGCACGTTTGCACCATGACGGTCAGTGTCAGGACTGCACACAAACTTCACAAGAGGTTCAAGGACGGTGTCGGTGGAGTCAAACCACAGGCTTTGATTGCAGTGCCTCACTGTTATGTGACCTAAGAAAGGTGCAGCATCCCTGCTTTCAAAGTGGAGGGAAAACTCCTCTTTAGTGACCTTAGCAGAGCAAAGGACAGTCCTTGAGGGTTGTGTTTGTTTGTTTGTTTGTTTGTTTTTGAGACGGAGTCTCGCTCTGTCGCCCAAGCTGAAGTGCCTTGCCGGTTCAAGCTATTCTTCTGCCTCCACCTCCCAAGTAGCTGGGACTATAGGCACCATCACTATGCCCGGCTAATTTTTATATTTTACGAAATACTACTCAGGAGGCTGAGGTGGGACAATTGCTTGAATCTGGGGGTGGAGCTTACAGTGAGTTGAGATTGTGCCACTGCACTCCAGCCTGGGCGACAGAGTGAGACTCCATCTTGTAATGGTTACTGCCGAGTTTAAAATGAGGAAACTGAGGCCAGTATAAGAACAATCAGATGCCAATTTATTTATCTCCCGGGCGAGGTTCTGTGGTCCTAAGGAAAGGGGGCCAGAGAAGTCGTACTTGACTTCTCAGGGCAGGGGATTTTATGGGGGTTAGAGGTGGGCTGGCCTAGGATGCATGGGGTGGGCTGCCATTGGGTAAGGCTTGGCAAGATTTCTTCAATTTTCATGGGTTCAGATGTATAGTTTAGTGCTAAGGGTGCACAGTTTAGTGCTGAGGTTCAAATGCATAGCTTGGTGCTGAGAGTGCATAGTCTAGTGCTGAATATAGACCTGGGGGCAGAATGCAGAAGTGGGTGAGGGGAGCCCGCATGGGGGAGCCCTCATGGGGGAGCCAGATGCTGAGTAATGTGTTCTGCCTGATAAACTGTTATCAGGCATAGAGAGGGGTGGGTGTTGTTCATCCGGCTCTTAGCAAGGCTATCAGCCTTACACATCTCAAGACAGAAAAAAAAAAGACAAAGTGAGGACAAAAAGTATTTCTAAAATAAAAGATCTGCTGCTGTCCAGGGGTAAGAATTATTTGAAGAGGGGTCCAGAATATTGAATAGGGAGGTCTGGAGCAGACAAGGTCTGATTACAAAGCCCTGGTACTCAGGAGAGAGTGTGAGGCCTAATAGTGAGCCTGTGGAACGTCCAGGAAAGCTGTGCCAGATCAACTTCCTGGCTGTCATTTTTTGTTTGTTTGTTGTTTGTTTGTTTTGAGATGGAGTCTTGCTCTGTTGTCCAGGCCAGAGTGCAGTGGCATGATCTCAGCTCACTGCAACCTCTGCCTCCAAGGTTCAAGTGATCCTCTTGCCTCAGCCTCTCGAGTAGCTGGGATTACAGGCGCCTGTCACTGAGCCTGGCTAATTTTTGTATTTTTAGTAGAGACAGGGTTTCACCATATTGGCCAGGCTGGTCTTGAACTCCTGACCTCAGGTAATCCGCCCACCTTGGCCTCCCAGATTGCTGGGATTACAGGCGTGAACCCCTGTGCCTGACCCTGGCTGTCAGTTTTAACACAAATGACCTGTGTATCTCAGGCTTTAAGATCAGGCTGGAGAGCTTTTCAAAAATCATCCAGGGAAAGGAGGGTTGAAGCAGGCAGATGTCTAAGGGGTTTTTTAGAGAGGTTGATGGAGTTGAAGGGTTCTACTGAGGAGGCAGAGGCTAAGGACATGAGGTGGAGAAAGAGGGTTCAAACCAGGGACCCAGAGATCTAATAGCTCCTCTGCGGGTCAGGAAAAAGAAGTTGGGGACAATGTGGAATGTAAGTGGTTGGAGAAGGAGGATTTATAGCTGCACCTTTTGCTCTAGGTCTGCTTTTTGTTTTTGCTTTTTCTTTTTGTTTGTTTTTGCTCTTGTTGCCCAGGCTGGAGTGTAATGGCATAATCTAGGCTCACTGCAAACTCCGCCTCCTGAGTTCAAGTGATTCTCCTGCCTCAGCCTCCCTAATAGCTGGGATTACAGGGGCCTGCCGCCACACCTGGCTAATTTTTACATTTTTAGTAGAGATGCGGTTTCACCATGTTGGCCAGGCCGGTCTCAAATTTCTAATCTCAAGTGATCCGCTCGCCTTGGCCTCCCAAAGTGCTGGGATTACTGGCGTGAGCCACCAAGCCTGGCTGATTTTTGTTTTTTAATCAAGTTAAATGATTTTTTTTTTTTAATTTTGTACTTTTTCAATAGAGACTCTATGTTGGACAGGCTGGTTTTGAACTCCTGACCTCAAGTGATCCATCTGCCTCAGCCTCCCAAAATGCTGGGATTACTGGCCAGCAGTAATCCGCAGTGAGCCACTGTGCCCAGCTTGTTTTTTTTTTTTTTTTTTTTGAAACAGTGTCTCGCTCTGTTGCCCAGGCTGGAGTACTGTGACGTGATCTCGGCTCACTGCATCCTCCGCCTCCCAGGTTCAAGTGATTCTTCTGCCTCAGCGTCCGGAGTAGCTGAGGCATGTGCCACCACACCCAGCTAATTTTTTTGTTTTGTTTTTAGTAAAGACTTTTGTTTTTAAAAGAGATAGAGTCTCCATATTTTGCCCAGACTGATCTTGAACTCCTGGTCTCAAGGAATCCTTGCACCTCGGCCTCCCAAAGTACTGGGATTTCAGGCATGAGCCTCTGTGCCCGACTAGTTAAGGAAATTTTTAAGGCTAGCCATAATACTTTTTTGAGGTTTTTTGCTATCTGATTTTTAAGTAAATACCAATGGGCCAATATTTTAGAATGAGAGCTCTCTAAAATTGTTTTAAAATGAAGTCTTTTAAATGTAAAGAGTTTATTTTTTGGCCATTCACAATTAGGATCTTAGTGTTTTTGTTTTGTTTTGTTTTTTAAGACAGAGATTTGCTCTGTCACCCAGGCTGGAATGCAGTGGCACAGTCTCAGTTCACTGCAACCTCTGCCTCCCAGGTTCAAGCAATTCTCATGCCTCAGCCTCCAGGTAGCTGGGATTACAGGCACGTGCCATCACGCCTGGCTAATTTTTGTATTTTCACATGTTTCACTGTGTTGGTCAGGTTGGTCACAAATTCCTGGCCTCAAATGATCCACCCACCTCGGCCTCCCGAAGTGCTGGGATTATAGGCACAAGCCACCACATCTGGCCTATTGGTGAATATTTTTAAATAGTTACTTAATCCAGTAAGTCTTTTTATGGAAAGACTAGGAGGTATCTTTTTACACTTAGAATAAATCTTTACCAGGGACACAAAGGACACTCCTGGAGTGGGTGCAGAGGATACAGCCCCCATGATCCAACAGTTCACTCTCAGCAGAGCACAGTGGCTCACACCTGTAATCCCAACATTTGGAGAGGCCGAGCAGGGAGGATTGCTTGAAGCCAGAAGTTTGAGACCAGCCTGGACAACACAGCGAGACTCTATCTCTACATAAAATTTAAAAATTAGCTGGGTATGGTGGCGCATGCCTGTAATCTCAGCTACTTGGGATCACTGGAGCCCAAAAGGTCAAGGCCACAGTGAGCCATGATTAAACCACTGCACTGTAACAGCCTGGGTGACAGAGTGAAACCCTATCTCGTTAAAAAAAAAAAATTTTTGCCAGGCGTGGTGGCACATGCCTGCAGTCCCAGCTACTCAGGAGGCTGAGGCTGGAGGGTCACTTGCATCCAGGACTTCCAGGCTATAGTGCGCTATGCCGATCAGGTGTCTGCACTAAGTTCAGCATCAATATGGTGACCTCCCGGGATTGGGGGACCACCAGGTTGCCTATGGAGGGGTGAACCTGCCCAAGTCAGAAACAGAGCAGGTCAAAACTCCCGTGCTGGTCAGTAGTGGGATCATGCCTGTGAATAGCCACTGCACTCCAGCCTGGGCAACATAGTGAGACCCTGTCTCTAAAAACAAAAAAGACCGAGGCGGGTGGATCACAAGGTCAAGAGATTCCTGGCCAACATGGTGAAACCCTGCCTCTACTAAATACAAAAAATTAGCTGGGCATGGTAGTCCATGCCTGTAATCCCAGCTACTTTGGAGGCTGAAACAGGAGAATCGTTTGAACCCAGGAGGTAGAGGTTGCAGTGAGCCGAGAATGCGCCATTGCGCTCCAGCCTGGGCAACAAGAGTGAAACTCCATCTCAAAAAAAGAAAAAAAAAATTTTTTTTTAATTCTCTCTCAGAGGTAGACTAGAAAAACCAAAGATTTCATTGTCACCAGTGGTTAATGTAGTGTTTGTGTAAACAATGTCTCTGGTCTCACAAATGGGAGATACCTCCAATCACAGACTGGATATTCCATAACTCTGGGCAGGCAATGCTGGCATGGGAGTTTCCCAGCACAAATCCAGGCAAGAAGGATCCGCCAACAAGCCCTTATGAATCAGCCTTTTATGACAAAACTCCCCGAGAGCTTGACCCTTTGGGACAACGTGCATGCTGTTTAATGTCTCACACGTCTGAGTCCCCAGCGTTTTGAGACTGGCTGGCTGACATGAATCAAACACCTTTTGTCCCTTGGATGGCAGAGACTAGACAGGGTGACCTTTTTGGTTATAAAGCCAAGCTCTCCAGACGATAAGAGGAGAACCTCATTCAGTTTTTTTGTTTCAGGGACCCACGGCACAGTTCATTTAGATAGATGCAGGTTTGATGAGTGCCATAAATTCACCAGTCTGTGGAGGGTGGTTGGAACAGTAGACTTATAAGGACCTGTGCCTGTGGTTGCTCTCCTTATGACAAACAGCACAAAAGGCATAGACAAAGGAAGACAAAAACTATCTCTGAGATCAAAGAATCAGATAGAAATCTAGAGTACCCACAAAAACACCAAAGGTCACTTTTACCCAAAGAACTAGTTCACAAATACTTTCTCCTGTGAATCCCAGAATAGTGGGAAAAAGACAGCCTTACCACTGTCACCTTGGCCAGCTTCCACGGCGGAGATCCACAAAGCCGACGGTAAGAAATCTGAGGCCGTTTTGTCAGAGCTCCAGGATCTCAGCTGCAGCAGCTCCCGGTGAGTAGTGTTCCAGCCAGCAAAGGATGGCCCCACGCGGGCCACCAGTGTCTGTAGGGGACCTGGAGATCACCTCCCACCCCGTGTTTGCTCTTACTAGGCTCTTTAGCTGGACCTAGAAACCAAATTGACACCAGACAGATTAACAAGCAAAAGTATATAAAAGTTAGTTTTACATGTATGTGAAGTTTTTTTTTTGTTTTTTTTTTTTAATGAATGAGAGGTTCTTAGGTTGCCCAGGTTGGCCTTGAACTCATAGCCTCGCCTCCTCAAGCGCCAGGACAAGTGGCCCGAGCCACCGCGGCTCTCACAAATAATTTCTTTCTTTTCTTTTCTTTTCTTTTTTTTTTTTGAGTCAGAGTCTCACTCTGTTGTCAGGCTGGAATGCAATGGTGTGATCTCGGCTTACTGCAACCTCCACCTCCTGGGTTCAAGTGATTCTCCTGCCTCAGCCTCCCATGTAGCTGGGACTACAGGCTCACGCCACCATGCCCGGCTAATTTTTGTATTTTTAGTAGAGACAGGGTGTCACCATATTGGCCAGGCTGGTCTTGAACTCCTGACCTCAAGATCCTCTCACCTCAGCCTCCCAAAGTGCTGGGATTACAGATGTGAGCCACCGTGCCTGGCCATTTGAAGATCTCCACAAGAGAATGAAGTCTGAAGAAGAGGCCAAAGCAAGATACCTTTTATTTTCTAGACAATGAGTGATAGCTTTAAGAACAAAGGATGGGCCAGGTGCAGTGGCTCACGCCTGTACTCACAGCACTTTGGGAGGCTGAGGTGGGCGGATCACCTGAAGTCAGGAGTTTAAGACCAGTCTGACCAACCTGGTGAAACCCCATCTTTAAAACAAAACCAAAAAAAAAAACAAAGGATGGCTGGGTGCAGTGGCTCAGACCTGTAATCCCAGCACTTTGGGAGACTGAGGCAGGCAGATCACTTTAGGTCAGGAGTTTGAGACCAAACTCTCTCTCTACTAAAAATACAAAAATTAGCTGGGCATGGTGGCACATAGCTGTAATTCCAGCTACTCGGGAGGCTGAGGCAGGAGAATTGCTTGAAGGGAGGTGGAGGCCGCAGTGAACCGAGATTGTGCCACTGCACTCCAGCCTGGGTGACAGAGTGAGACTCCATCTAAAAGAAAAGAAAAGAAAAGAGCTGGGCATGGTGGTGCGTGCCTGTTATTCCAGCTACTCGGAGGCTGAGGCTGGAGAATCGCTTGAGTCCAGGAGTTCTGGGCTGCTGTGCGCTATGCCAATTGGGTGTCCGCACTAAGTTCGGCATCAATATGGTGACCTCCCAGGAGCGGGGGACCACCAGGTTACCTAAGGAGGGGTGAACTGGCCCAGGTTGGAAACAGAGCAGGTCAAAACTCCTGTGCTGATCAGTAGTGGGATCCCACCTGTGAATAGCCACTGTACTCCTACCTGGGCAAGATGGCGACACCCTGTCTCTTAAAAAAAAAAAAAAAATTGGCTGGTCATGGTGGCTCAAGCCTATAATCCCAGCACTTTGGGAGGCCGAGGCAGGTGGATCCACCAGGTCAAGAGATTAAGACCATCGTGGTTAACATGGTAAAACCCCATCTCTACAAAAAAAAGAAAATTTTAAATTAAAAAAAAGAAGAAGGGGCTGGGTGTGGTGGCTCATGCCTGTAATCCAAGCACTTTGGAGGCCAAGGCGGGCAGATCACCTGAGGTTGGGAATTCAAGACCAGCCTGACCAACATGGTGAAACCCCGTCTTTAAAAAAAATAATAAATAAATAAATAAAGAAGAAGGAAATGAGAGGACAAAGAACAGCTGGCTAGGGGCAGTAAATTTCCTAGGGAAGTCACTAGGAGATATGGGGTGGGGGTCAGTGTAAAACTAGCAAAGGATAAGAGTGACTTTGTTAAGTATATTCATGTAGGTCCATTGCAGGCTCCAAATCCCAGTCTCTGATTTCATCAGAGGGCTATTTTTTTTTTTTTTTTTTGCATTAAAAAAATTATTTGGCCAGGTGCGGTGGCTCAAGGCTGTAATCCCGCACTTTGGGAGGCCAAGGCAGGTGGATCACGAGGTCAAGAGATCGAGACCATCCTGGTCAACATGTGAAACCCCGTCTCTACTAAAAATACAAAAAATTAGCTGGGCACGGTGGCACGTGCCTGGAATCCCAGCTACTCAGGAGGCTGAGGCAGGAGAATTGCCTGAACCCAGGAGGCGGAGGTTGTAGTGAGCCGAGATGGCACCATTGCACTCTAGCCTGGGTAACAAGAGCGAAACTCCGTCTCAAAAAAAAATTATTTTATTGGCATATATAATAATGGGGCATCACACAATCCATGAGTCCCTACATTAAGTAGCATATGGTATACAAAGCAGGTCTAGGGCAGTTCTAGGGATATAACTGGCACTTAAATACATTTCAGTTCTTAAAGGTAGTATGGGGAAAGAACACTAAAATAACAGTAACACATCTTTTTAAACAAATTAACTCTTTGATTTTTCAAACACCTTGAAGCCAAAGGAAACTCATGATTCAAATGAATAGGTATGGATCATTTTATTCAATACTTGTATTTAGAGAATATATGTGAATCAGACTTTCCAATGATTAATATTAGTGTATAAGACTGATAGCTTTTGAAAGGGCAGTTAAAGGTTATCTTCTACTTTTTTTTTTTTTTTTTTGAGACGGAGTTTCGCTCTTGTTACCCAGACTGGAGTGCAATGGTGGGATCTCGGCTCACCTCAACCTCCGCCTTCTGGGTTCAAGCAATTCTCCTGCCTCAGCCTCCTGAGTAGCTGGGACTACAGGCACGCACCACCATGCCCAGCTAATTTTTGTATTTTTAGTAGAGACGGGGTTTCACCTTGTTGACCAGGATGGTCTCGAGCTCTTGACCTCATGATCCACCTGCCTCGGCCTCCCAAAGTGCTGGGATTATAGGCGTGAGCCTCCGCGCCCGGCCATCTTCTACTATTTTCTAACTTCATAAATTCTTTTGTTTGAAAGATGGGAGATAAAGTTTAAATTCATTTTTAGTTTGCTAAATCAACCTTCAGAATGCCTGCCGCTGAGATCTTTCTTAGGAAGGCCTTTGTCGACATAATATACCTGTAAAATAAGCATTCGTGTTTCCTTCTGATACTTTTCTCACTTGCATATGTAAAAGTTTCAATCTGTGTTCCATCAGCCACTCATGTTTGTGATATAAAATTTCATTAGTTTTCTTCAAAGAGCAGGCATTTTTTCATTAATAATTCATCCTTTCCTATTCATATCTGTGAACATTATCAGTCCTTACATATATCTTATATCATTTCAGTGTTTCTGGACTTCCTGTTCGGTTCTATGCATTTATCTGTATTTTCAGCTGTGCGACTTGTCCTGGGCGTCCAGGTCTCGGCTCCTGCGGGCCAGGCAGCTCCACCTCCCAGGCGTCACCCCTGACAGCCGCCCTGTGGATCCTCCGCTGTTCGGCGTCCCGGATTCGGTGCCCGGAAGCGGTGTAGACGGAGTCTATGGGGCTCAGGACCTGAGGTTCTGCTCTGCCTTGGCCCCCACTTGGCGTGGATGGCGCACAGATTGGTGTCCTCAAAGAGCCCCACCAGGTAGGCCTCGCAGGCCTCCTGCAGCGCCATCACCGCAGAGCTCTGGAAACGCAGGTCGGTGTTAAAGCACTGCGCGATCTCACGGACCAGACGCTGGAATGGCAGCTTGCGAATCAGTAGCTCGGTGGACTTCTGGTACTGGCGGATTTCCCGGAGAGCGACGGTGCCCGGCCGGTAGCGGTGCGGCTTCTTCCCGCCGCGGGTGGCTGGAGCGCTCTTGCGAGCAGCCTTGGTGGCCAGCTGCTTGCGCGGCGTTTGCCGCCAGTGGACTTACGAGCTGTTTGCTTCGTACGAGCCATGAGAAGGGGTTTCAGAAAATGGTTGCGACTCGAGGGCTATTTTCTTACTCCGCTATGGTTTGTGTTCCACTCCCATAGGAATCTTTTTTTTTTTTTTTTTTTTTGATATTACACTTTAATAGGTTTCAGAAGGCTCCGTGGAGAAATGCTAATAGGCTGAAATGTCCCAATCGAGAGGGATTCAGTTCGCGCTCAGCCGATCTAATCCTTTTTTCTGCTCTGATTTTTTGTTGGTGGGGGGAAAGGGGAGCACCACGTAAAGAGGGGCTTTGGGGAGGGGCGCGCGGTGCGAAGGGCGGCAGCCCGGGCCTGGGCCGAGCCGGGGGCGCGCCCTGGTCCGCGTTTCTATAGGAACCTCTTTTAGAAGATCAGAGACTCACCCGCTGCCCGCCGCCGCGGCCTCTCCAAAATATTAATCAGTAATCATCTGACACTGCGTTTCAGGGAGGGACCTGCAGGCCAGTGCTAGGAAAACAGCCTTTTCCCCTGCCCATCTCACCCGACCGCGCTGCTGGGGGAGAGGGAATGAATCGCTGCTTTGTATTAAAAGGAAGAAAAAAAAAAACAGGGAAAAAGCAGCCCTTGTCTGTTTTGGCGTCTCCACCGCGCGTACTAGAAACGCACCCTAGGGGAGGCGGGGGCCCGGGGCTCGGGGCAGGGGGCAGGGGCCAGGGTGCAGCTCGCCGGGCCCCCAGGCCCTCCCCAGCTCGCTTGGCTTGTCACCTCCTCCTGCCTGCATAGGAATCTTTTTGGCTTGCTGCATGCTAGAGGAGACCAGTCAGCTAGCTCTTCCTGAAACTACAATGTCTCCGATATTTTCAACTCAAAATAATCACTATAGCAATCTAGCATATTTTGGGATGGCACATACTTTAGTACTTCAAGATACAGAAAGCAAGAAAACCAGGGAAACCTACAGACCTACAACAATATTTGAGTTCCTCTCATTTTAAAACAAGTTTCCTCTAAAACTTACCTCCAGGTTGGGAGGTGGCTCACGCCTGTAATCCCAGCACTTTGGAAGGCTGAGGCGGGTGGATCATGAGGTCAGGAGTTCGAGACCAGCCTAGCCAACATGGCAAAAACCCGTCTCTACTAAAAGCACAAAAATTAGCCAGGTGTGGTGGCGGGCACCTGTAATCCCAGCTATTCAGGAAGCTGAGGCAGGAGAATCCCTTAAACCAGGAGGCAGAGGCTGCAGTGAGGCGATGTTGCGCCTCTGCACTCCAGCCTGGGCGACAAGAGCAAGACTCTGCCTCAAAACAACCAATAACAAAAAACCCACGTCCATTCATCTGCAAACATAGCTCCTTTGCTTCCCATGCAGACTTTCCCAGGGTCACGTTTTTGTTTTGTTTTTTTTTGCTTGGTGAGTGTGTGTGTGTGTGTGTGTGTGTGTGTGTGTCGGAATCTTGCTCTGTTGCCCACAGTGGAGTACAGTAGTGCAATTTTGGCTCACTGCAGCCTCCACCTCCAGGGTTCAAGTGATTCTCCTGTCTCAGCCTCCCAACTAGCTAGGATTACAGGTGCCCACCACCATGCCTGCCTAATTTTTGTATTTGTAGTAGAGACAGGTTTCCCCAGGTTGGCCAGGCTGGTCTTGAACCCTTGACCTCAGGTGATCCACCCATCTTGGCCTCCCTAAATGCTGGGATTACGGGCATGAGCCACTGCGCCCAGCCCCCCAGGGTCATGCTACACTTGCTGTCCTCACTTCTAGCCTCCCGTTCATATATTTCTTCCCTGGGAAAAGCATCCCTCCCCTCTGTCCCCTGGAACTGCAATAGGTCCCTTAAACCAGAGTTAGGTCTTAAATGGAATTCTGGAAAGCAAGAAACTAAATGAGAGATTTCCATGGTAGAGGATTGCCAGTGGTGTTGTGTAAGGTGGTATAGGGTGGGAGAGTCCGTTTAGAGTTGGAATAGCTGTCCCCAGGTGAGGAGAGGGGTGGCTTGTACTCATCTAGTTCCAGAGGATTCAGGCAAAGAGCTTTGGAATACTAATCCCCCATTAATCTGGTTTTAATTATTGGAGATCGACTAAGGTCTGAAAATATTAAATAGAAAATTCCAGAAATACCATATGCAATTCATAGATTATTCATTGTGAACAGGTCTGAGTAGATGATAAAATCTCTTGCTATCCTGCTCATCTCACCCAGTTCATGAATTCTCCCTAATCCACCCGTTAGTCATTCAGTAGCCAACTCAGTTAGCAGGTGTGTAGATATCACAGTGCTTGCGTTCAAGGAGCCCTTATTTCACTTCATAATGACCCCAAAGGAAGAGAGTAGTGATGCTGGCAATTTAGAGATGCTGGAGGAGACCATAAAGTGCTACCTTTAAGGGAAAAGGTGAAAGCTAGCCTAGCGTGGTGGCTCACACTTGTAATCCCAGCACTTTGGGAAGCTGAGGTGGGTGGATCATGAGGTCAGGAGATCAAGACCATCCTGGCCAACATGGTGAAAGCCCATCTCTACTAAAAAGCAAAAAATTAGCTGAGTATAGTGGCATGCACCTGTAGTCCCCAGCTACTTGGGAGCCTGAGGCAGGAGAATCACTTGAACCTGGAAGGCGAAGGTTGCAGTGAGCCGAGATTGAGCCATTGCACTCCAGCCTGAGTGACAGAGTGAGATTCCTTCTCAAAAAAAAAGGAGGTCGGAGCGCAGTGGCTCACGCCTGTAATCCCAGCACTTTGGGAGGTCAAGGTGGGCATATTGCCTGACATCAAGAGTTCAAGACCAGCCTGACCAACACGATGAAACCCCCATCTTAAAATAAAATAAAAACAGAAAACTTAGCTTGGCATTGTTGTGGGCTCCCATAATCCCAGCCACTCAGGAGGCTGAGACAGAATCATTTGAACCCAGGAGGTGGAGGTAGCAGTGAGCAGATTTCACCACCGCACTCCAGCTCAGCTGATGGAGACTCTGTCTCAAAATAATAATAGTAATAATAATTAAGGAAAATATATATATATACACACACACACACACACACACACATTCACAAAGGAAAAAATCCAGGTGTGGAGGCTTACTCCTGTAATTCCAGCACTTTGGGAGGCTGAGGTGGGAGATCGGATTGATTCCAGGAGTTCAAGACCAGCCTGGGCAACATGGGTGAAACCCTGTCTCTACTAAGAAAAAAAAAATTAGCCAGGTGTGCTGGCATGGGACTGTAATTTCGGCCACTGGGGAGGCTGAAGCAGGAGAATTGCTTGAACTGAGATCGTGCCACAGCACCCAGGCTGGAGTGCAATGGCTCAATCTCTGCTCACTGCAACTGTGGCCTCCCAGGTTCAAGTGATTGTCCTGCCTCAGCCTCCTGAGTAGCTGGGATTACAAGCACCCACCACCAAGCCCAGCCTGGGCCAGGTAGGCCTGCGTACCCTGATGGTTCCCTCTCTATGACACATTGGGAACTTATTTTTGAGACGCCCAGGCTGGAGTGCAAGTAGCCTAGGCTCACTGCAACCTCCACCTCCTGAGTTCAATTAGTTCTCCTGCCTTAGCCTCCTGGGTAGCTGGGATTGCAGGTTGCACGCCACCACAACCAGCTAATTTTTTTTATCTCCCATAGAGAGGAGGTTTTACCATGTTGGTCAGGCTGGTCTCGAACTCTCAGCTTGTGATCTGCCCACCTCAGCCTCCCAAAGTGCTGGAATTACAGGGGTGAGCCACCATGCCTGGCCGACACATTGGGAACTTGATGCCCTTTGCCTGCCACTGTCTCCCTGAGGGCCAGGAATGTACCCAACTCTTCTCTTTGTCCCTAGCACCCAAGACAGAGTCAGGCTCAGCTCCTGCCTTTGTGGCAGCCTGTATCTACAGGCCCAGCCCTGGCCTCCCAGTGGCCTCTTTAGGCCAAGCTAGTACCTCCTGGTGGCCTCTCTGGGCCCAGTGTTGGCTTTCTGAGGTTTCAGTGAGGCAAGAGGACACCACTGCATTCCAGCCTGGGCGACAGAGCAAGACACTGTCTCCAAAAAAAAAAAAAAAAAAAAAAATGCCAAAGCCTGAAAAAAGACCTCCAAAGGCCAATCTCAGGTTCTACAATGTGATGATACAGAGTGATTGGGGAATTTGCAAAAATCTTGTGACCTCTGGAATAATGGATGAATTCAGGCCACTCTCACCCTCCTAACTTGGTAGTCTTTTATTAGTTTTAGAGGGGTAGCTTGTTGGGTTGGCTTTCTTATTTAAACTTTGAACTAAATTTCTGATTTCTGTGACTGTCTCAATTTTACAAAGGCAGTCTTTTCAGAGAGGTTAGAACCAGAGCAACTCCATCTTGAATAGGGTCTGGGTAAAATGAGGCTGAATCCTGCTGGGCCACATTTCCAGGATGTCAGTCATTCTATTTTTTTTTTTTTAGGACATAGTCTCACTCTGTCACCAGGCTGGAGTGCAGTGGCACAATCTCAGCTCACTGCACTCTCTGCCTCCCAGGTTTAAGACTTTCTCCTGCCTCAGCATCTGGGACTACAGGCATGCACCACCACCCTCAAGTGAGTTTTAGTATTTAGGGGTTGTCTCGTCTTGTCGTGGGTTGTCTTGGGTTGTCTTGTCTTGTTTTGTCTTGTCTCGGGTTGTCTTGTCTTCTTTTGTCTTGGGTTGTCTTGTCTTCTTTTGTCTTGGGTTGTCTTGTCTTGTTTCATCTTGGGTTATCTTGTCTTGTGTTGTCTTGTCTTGTTTTGTCTTGGGTTATCTTGTCTTGGATTGTCTTGTCTTGTTTTGTCTTGGGTTATCTTGTCTTGGATTGTCTTGTCTTGTTTTGTCTTGGGTTATCTTGTCTCGGTTATCTTGTCTTGGGTTGTCTTGTCTTGTTTTGTCTTTGGGTATCTTGTCTTGGGTTGTCCTGTCTTGTTTCATCTTGGGTTATCATATCTTGGGTTATCTTGTCTTGGTTTGTCTTATCTTGTTTTGTCTTGGGTTATCTTGTCTCAGGTTGTCTTGTCTTGTTTTGTCTTGGGTTATCTTGTCTCAGGTTGTCTTGGGTTGTCTTGTCTTCTTTTGATTTGGGTTATCTTGTCTTCTTTTGACTTGGGTTATCTTGTCTTGTTTTGCCTTGGGTTATCTTGTCTTGTTTCATCTTGTCTTGTCTTGTCTTGGGTTGTCTTGTCTTGTTTCGTCTTGGGTTATCTTGTCTTGGGTTGTGTTGTGTTGTCTTATCTTGTGTCTTTTTTTTTTTTTTTTGAGATGGAGTCTCACTCTGTTGCCCAGGCTGGAGTGCCCACCTCATCTTCCCAAAGTGCTGAGATTACAGGTGTGAGCCACCACACCTGGCTTTTTTTGAGACAGAGTTTTGCTCTTGTTGCCTAGGCTGTAATGCCATGGCCCAATGTCAGCTCACAGCAATCTCTACCTCCCAGGTTCAAGCAGTTCTCACCCTCCCTAGTAGTTGGGATTACAGGCATGCACCCTATGCTCAGCTAATTTTGTATTTTTAGTAGAGACAAGATTTCTCCATGTTGGTCAGGCTGGTCTCAAACTCCCAACCTCAGGTAACCCACCTGCCTCAGCCTCCCAAAGTGTTGGTATTACAGGTGTGAGCCACCATGCCCGGTTCCTTTACTTTCTGAATAAACTGGCTTTCACTCTACTCTGTAGATGTCCCCCGAATTCTTTTTTGCATGAGATCAAAGGACCTTCTCTAGGGGTCTGGATCGGGACCCCTTTCCAGTAAGGGATTCCCCATCTCTCTAGTCCTATCCCCAGAGATAAGCCTGTCTCGTGATTACCTTGGATTACCTTCCAAAGATGCTGTGTGAGACTGGGCATGGTGGCTCATGCCTGTAATCCCAGCATTTTGGAAGGCTGAGGTGGGCTGGTAACCTGAAGTCAGAAGTTCGAGACCATTCTGACCAACATGGTGAAACCCCGTCTCTACTAAAAATACAAAAATTAGCTGGGTGTGGTGGCGTGCGCCTATAATCCCAGCTACTCAGGAGGCTGAGGCAGGAGAATTGCTTGAACCTGGGAGGCGGAGGTTGCAGTGAGCCGAGATTGCGCCACTGCACTCCAGCCTGGTGCCTGGCGACGGAGGGAGACTCTGTCTCAAAAAAAAATAAATAAATAATAAATAAATAAACTGTGAAAGCTCTTGACTTTATAAGTAAAAAAAAAAATCATATATTAAGGTTACATCATATGTTAAGGTTACTAAGATCTGTGGTAAGAACAAATATTCTTTTTTTTTTTTTTTTTGAGACAGAGTCATGCTCTATCGCCAGGCTGGAGTGGTAGAGTGGTGTGATCTCTGCTCTCGGCAACCTCTGCCTCCTGAGTTCAAGAGATTCTCTTGCCTCAGTAGCTGGGACTACAGGTTTGCGCCACCATGTCCAGCTAATTTTTGTATTTTTTTTTTTTTTTTTTTTTGAGACAGACTGGAGTGTCTCAAAAAGACTGGAGTGTCTTGTTACCCAGACTGGAGTGCAATGGCACGATCTCGGCTCACACAACCTCCGCCTTCTGGATTCAAGCAATTCTCCTGCCTCAGCCTCCTGAGTAGCTGGGACTACAGGCGTGCACCACCATGCCCAGCTAATTTTTTGTATTTTTAGTAGAGACAGGGTTTCACCATGTTGGCCAAGATGGTCTCGATTTCTTGAACTTGTCATCTGCCCGCCTTGGCCTCCCAAAGGGCTGGAATTACAGGCGTAAGCCACCACACCCAGCGAGAAAGAATATTTTATCCTTAAAATTTTGAAGAAGAAAAAAGAAATTTGTGCAGAATATATAAGGGTTCAATATCTGTGATTTCAGGCATCCACTGGGGTTCTTGAAATGTGTCCCACGGATAAGAGGAGACTACAATAACTATAAGGTAGTTACTTCTGGCCAGGTGCGGTGGTTCATGCCTATAATCCCAGCACATTGGGAGGCTGAGGCGGGCAGATCACCTGAGGTCAGATTTCGAGACCAGCCTGGCCAACATGGCAAAACCCATCTCTACTAAAAATACAAAAAGAAAAAATATTAGCAGAGCATGGTGGTGGGCGCCTAGAATCCCAGCTACTTAAGAGGCTAAGGCAGGAGAAAGGCTTGAACCCAGGAGGCAGAAATTGCAGTGAGCTGAGATTGCACCACTGCACTCCAGCCTGGGCTAGAGAGGGAAACACTGTTTCAAAAAAATAAAGGTTAGGCCCCAGGCTGGCTTCCTGATACTGACAGGATTCAGGCACATCTTTCCATAAGTGGTTAGCTTTGCAGACCATTTCCAACCAGATCTGGTGTGGACGGAAAGCCTGTTAGAACTAGAGGTCTTTTTTTTTTTTTTTTTTGAGATGGAGTTTTGCTCTTGTTACCCAGGCTGGAGTGCAATAGCGCGATCTCGGCTCGCTGCAACCTCCACCTCCTGGGTTCAGGCAGTTCTCCTGCCTCAGCCTCCTGAGTAGCTGGAATTACAGGCACGCGTCACTATGCCCAGCTAATTTTTTGTATTTTTAGTAGAGACGGGGTTTCACCATGTTGACCAGGATGGTCTCGATCTCTTGGCCTCGTGATCCACCCGCCTCTGCCTCCCAAAGTGCTGGGATTACAGGCTTGAGCCACCGGGCCCGGCCAGAACTAGAGGTCTTCCATATGTTTGCCGGCTGCTTCTACCTTTCAGCACAGGGACTGGGCAGTCAGGTTAGCAAAACTGGCCAGGCGCGGTGGCGCGTGCCTGTAGTCCCAGCTACTCGGGAGGCTAAGGTGAGAGGTTCCCTTGAGCCCATCTGGGCTGTAGTGCACTATGACGATCGGGGGTCTGCACTAAGTTCAGCATCAATATGGTGACGTCCCCCGAGCGGGGCAGGGGACCACCAGGTTGCCTAAGGAGGGGTGAACCAGCCCAGATCAGAAATGGAGCAGGTCAAAATTCCTGTGCTAATCAGCAGTGGGATCATGCCTGTGAATAGCCACTGCACTCCAGCCTGGGCAACATAGCTAGCCCCTGTCTCTTAAAAATGACACAACAACAACAACAAAAAAAAAACCTGATCCTCAGAGCAGACGAGGAAGGCAGCGGGGTGTCTGACTCAGGACCTGTGATGAAGCTGCTTCTCTGAGATTCCAGGACAACAAAGGAAGAAGAAAGGGATGACATTTCCCCTCAGTACACTGAAATGGAACTCTCCACAGCCGACTGAGGAGGCATTGCATTTGTTTCTCAGTATCTGAAGGGGATTGATTCCAGGACCCCTCACGGTTACCAAAATTCAAGGATGCTGAAGTCCCTGATGTGAAATGGCGTGGTATTTGCATATAACCTACACATATCCTCCCGTATACTCCATTAGTATTATTCTTTTTTGTTTTTCTTTTTTCTTTTTAAAAATAAAGACAGGGTTTCACGATCTTGGCCAGGCTAGTCTTGAACTCCTGACCTCGTGATCCACCTGCCTTGGCCTCCCAAAGTGCTGAGATTACAAGCATGAGCCACCACGCCTGGCCTAGTATGATTTTTTGAGACATGGTGTCCCTCTGTCATCCAGGCTGGAGTGTGGTAGCATGATCATGACTCACTGCAACTTTGAGCTTCCTGGCTCAAGGGATCCTCCTAGCCTCCCGAGCAGTTGAGACTGTAGTTGGAGGTACAGGCATGCGCCACTGCGCCTGGCTCATTTTTAATTTTTTTTTTTTTTTGTAGAGACAGAGTCGTACTATGTTGCCCAGGCTGGTCTTGAATTCCTGGGCTCAAGTGACTCTCCCTTCTCAGCCTCCCAGGTAGCTGGGAATACAGGCGTATTCCCTGTAACCATGCTGGCTAATTTTGGTGTGTTTTTTTTGTTTTTGTTTTTTTTTTTGGAGAGGCAGGGTTTGGCCTTACGACCCAAGCTGGAACTCCTGAGCTCAATGAATCCGACCTCCTTGGCCTCCCAAAGGGCTGGGATTCTGTGAGTACCCATTCTATGAGATTTGTGAGCCACTGCATCTGGTCAGGTTTGGGTTGCTTTTGTTGTTGTTTTTGAGACAGAGTCTCACTCTGTCGCCCAGGTTGGAGTGCAGTGGCATGACCTAGGCTTACTGCAGTTTCTGCTTCCCAGGTTCAAGCGATTGTCCTGCCGCCTCAGCCTCCGAGGAGCTCGGATTACAGGTGCCTGCCACTACACCCAGCTAATTTTTGTGTTTTTAGTAGAGACGGGGGTTTCACCATGCTGGCCAGGCTGGTCTTGAACTCCTGACCTCAGGGGTTCCACCCACCTCAGCCTCCCAAAGTGCTGGGATTACAGGTGTGAGCCACCGCTCCTGGCTGAGGTTTGGGTTTCTAATGATCCCACCAACCAGCGTGAACATAGTCCCGGACAGGTAATTTTTTGCTCCCTTTCCTCCCACCCTCCTTTTGGAATTCCCACTGTTTATTGTTCCCATCTTTGTGTCCATG